ATATGATCTGGTCCTTGCCTGTCTCTCAGATCTCATCTAAAGCTAGTCTTCTCCTGGTGCATTAAACTTAAGCCTTCTTTATTCAACTCAAATATGGTGAGCTTTTTCTTGAATCAAGACATTTTCCCCCCTCGGTTTTACTTTTATTGTACCAAGATACACATAAACAAAATTTGCCATGTTAGCCATTTTTAAGTATGCAGTTCAGTGGCATTAAATACATTTATAAAGTTATGCAATTATCCCCATTATCCATCCCCCTCTTTTCATCTTGTAAGACTGAAACTCTGTACCCAGTAAGCACTAACTCTCCATTCTCTGCTACTTCAGCCCCTAGTAACCACTGTTCTACTGTCTATCTCTATGATTTTGGTAACTCTGAGTATTTCATATAAGCAGGATCATACATTAGTTGTCTTTTTTGTGACTGACTTCATTTAGCGTAATGTACTCAAGCTTCAGCCATGTTGTAGCATATTGCAGAACTGCCTTCCCTTTTAAGGCTGTATAAAATTCAATTGTATGTTTCTACCACATTTTACTTATTCATTTGTCTGTCAGATGACATTTGGGTTGCTCCCACTTTTTTAGCCATTGTGGATGTTGCTGCTATGAACATGGGTGTACGCTCATCACGAGGTGAAACTTGTTCAAAAATACCTCTTTGAGACCCTGCATTTAGTTCTTTTGAGTATTTACCCAAAAGTGAAATTGCTGGGTCATAAGGTAATTTTATGTTTAACTTTTAAAGGAATCTTTATACTGTTTTCCACAGAGGCTGTACCATTTTACATTCCCATTAGCTATACACAAAGGTTCCAATTTCTCTGCTACTTCGCCAACATTTCTTTTCTGTCTTTTGATAATAGCCATCATAATGGGTGTGAAGTGGTATCTCATTATGTTTTTGATTCACATTTCTCTTATGATTAGTGATGTTGAGGATCTTTCCACTTGCCTCTTGGCCATTTGTATATCTTTGGAGAAATATCTATACAAGTCCTTTACCCATTTTTGAATTTGATTTTTTTATTGTTAAGTTTTAGGAGTTCTGTATGTTATATTCTGTATGTTAATGTCTTACTAGATATGTAATTTGTAAATATTTTCTCCCATTCTGTGGGTTGTCTTTTTACTCTGTTGATACTGTCTTTGGATGTGCGTTTTTTTTTTTTCTTTTAAGTTTTCATGAAGTCCAATTTGCCTGTTTTATTCTTGTGTTCTCTGCGCCTTTTTGGTTGTATCTGATAAACCATTGCCAAATCTGGTATCATGAGGTTTTTGCTCTGTTTTATTTTTTCCCAAGAGTAGTATAGTTTTAGGTCTTATGTTTAGGTCTTTGATCCATTTTCAATTAATTTTTGTGTATGGTGCTAGGTAAGGGTTCAACTTACTCTTTAGCACACGGGTATCCAGTTGTGCCAGCACTGTTTGTTGAAAATACTATTCATTTCCTGTTGAATGTTCTTGACACTCTTGTTGAAAATAATTTGATTATGTATACAAGGGTTATTTCTGGGTTTTCTATTCTGTTCCATCCGTCTGTCTGTGTTTATGCCAGTGCCACATTGTTTTGATTACGATAGCTTTGTAATAAGTTTTGAAATCAGGAACTATGAGACTTATAGCTTTGTTCTTCTATTTTCAGTATTGTTTTGGCTATTTGGGGCCCCTTGAGATTTCATACAAATTTTAGGATAAGTTTTTCTATTTCTGCAATAAACATCACTGGGATTTTGGTAGGGATTGTGTTGAATCTGTAGGTTGCTTTGGGTAGCATGGACATCTTAAAAACATTAAATTTTCTTATCTATGAAGTTATGATAGGTTTTTATTTATTAATGTCTTAAATTTGTTTTTTCAGCAGTGTTTTGTAGTTTTCATTGTACAGATATTTCACCTCGTTGGTGAAATTAATTCCTAAGTATTTTGTTCTTTAAAATAAAGAAATTCTATTTCTATTGTAAACAGATTTTTTTTTGTAGTTTCCTTTTCAGATTGCTCATTGGTAATGTATAAAAATATAACTGATTTTCATGGGTTGATTTTTGTATACTGCTGCTTTGTTGAATTTATTTATTACTTCTAATAGATTTTTTTGTGGAAGCTTTAGAGTTTTCTACATGTATGATCATATCATCTGTGAACAGAGATAGTTTTACTTATTTTTTTCCAGTTTGGATGCCTTTATTTGGTTTTCTTGCCTAATTGCTCTGGCTAGAACCTCCAGTACTATGTGGAACAGAAGTATTAGGTTGATGCAAAAGTAACTACGGTTTTTGCCATTACTTTTGCACCAACCTAATAGCATCCTTGCATTGTTCCTGATCTTTGAGGAAAAGCTTTCAGTCTTATAGCTTTGAGTATGACGTTTACTTTGGGTTTTTTATATATGGCTTTTACTATGGTGAGATAGTTTCCTTCTATTCATATTAGTTGTGTGTTTTATTAAAAGTTAAATTCATATTAGTTGTGTGTTTTATTAAAAGTTAAATTTAGTCAAATGCTTTTTCTGTTTTCATTTGAAATGATCATGTGTTTTCGTCTCCATTCTGTTAAGGTGGTGTATTACATTGTTTGAGTTTGTATGTTGAATCATTCTTGCATTCCAGGAATACTTTCCAGTTGGTCATGGTGTATAACCTTTTAAGATCCTGTTGAAGTGGGTGCACTGTATTTTGTTGAGGATTTTTCTATCAATGTTCATCAGGGATATTAGTCTGTAGTTGTTTTGTAGTGACTTTGTCTGGCTTTGGTATCAGAATAATGCCTCTTAAAATGAGATTGGAAGTGTTCTCTTTTCTTCAGTGTTGTAGAAAATTTGAGAAGTTGAATCAAGATATTTTAATCTTTTTTTTTTTTTTTTTTTCCCCTTTTTGTGGAATGTATGTTCCCAGATAGCCATTCACATGGCTGGCCCCATTATATCATTTAGACTTTAGTAAAATGTCTTTTGGGCCTTTTTGAATGTCAGTCTAAAGTAGCTTCTCAGTCATTCTCTATCAGTAGCTCTCTATTATTGTCCTCATAGCAATTTTCACAGACATTTTCCTGTGTTATCCTGTTTTCTATCAAATTATCCCATTGCTTATAGATAGAATATAAGCTTGAGAGCAGTCTCTATCATTTAGAGTTTTTATGGTTAGTTCTATTACATAGGCATGATTGATTAAGTCTTTGGACATTTGTGCGAAACTAAATCTCTACCCCTTTTCTCCCTGCAGCCCTCCCGTAAGTCAGAGGTTGGGCTGAAATTTCCAAACTTCTAATCACTTGGTTGGTTTTTTTGGCAACCAGCTCCCATCCTGAAGCTATGTAGGCTCCCACCACGAGTCACCTGATCAGTATAAATTCTGGTATGGTTGAAAGGAGCTTATTATGAATGACAAAAGACATCCCCTCTCACTCTTGTGAGAGGGGTGAGAAAACAAAGATAAAATATCTTGATTCAACTTCTCACTCACTCAGTCAATTCATAGGGTCTTAGGAGATTTTGTGCCAAGAACCTACAAAGACCAAATATTTCTTATGATTTCATAATGTCACACTACCTTACAAGATTGTTTTAAGAATAAATGAGAGAATGCATGCAAAGCTCTTAGCATATTGCCTGGTACAGATAGCAGTGGCTCTACTGCTATAGCTGTTAAGATTTTCTTCCCCATCCGTCTCTTCCTTGGCATTCTGTGTTCTCCCCTTTTTCCTTCCTCTGATAACCTTTGCTTGTGTTTCCATTTTCCTAATCTTTCTCTGACATTTTTTTCTTCTGAGTTCTCAATATTAGGTCAGAAGTCCAGGACTTGGAAGGGTTAGGAGTGGCATTGTTGTAGGAGCTTCTCGCAGAAGATTCATTTCAAGCCCCCCTCCCTCATTTACTTTCCTTTAGCTGTTGGTTTCATTTTCATCAAGAATCTGAAATATCTCAGGGGAAGTATCTGAATTTACTTTTTCAGAACAGATATTAGCTGTGATAGTGCCCCGCCTCCCCCCAGTGTTAGAAGATGTGGGAATAGTGATTCCTTGTATCAGGCTGATTCTTGAGATATGTCCTTTGCTTTAGGAGTGATACTGATGACACTGATAATCTTTTTTTTTTTTTTTCTTTTTTTTTTGAGATGAAGTCTCACTGTGTCGCCCAGGCTGGCGTGCAATGATGTGATCTCAGCTCACCGCACCCTCTGCCTTGAACTTGAACCTGGGAGGGTTCAAGTGACTCTCCTACCTCAGCCTCTTGAGTAGCTGGGATTACAGGTGCATGCCATCACGCCTGGCTAATTTTTGTATTTTTAGTAGAGACAAGGTTTCACCATGTGGGCCAGGCTGGTTTCGAACTCCTGACCTCAAGTGATCTGCTCGCCTCGGCCTCCCAAAGTGTTGGGATTACAACTGTGAGCCACCACGCCCTGCTGATACTGATAATCTTAAAGAGAGAAATTTAATGATCCTTTCATTAGTAAAATGTGTAATAGGAGTAACAAAGCGTATTGTGGGAAGAAGAGGTTCTCGATTATTTACCCCTTTAGCATTTTCCTGGAGGTTTAGTGGTTACTAGAAAGAAGTACTTGTGGCTAGGCATGGTGGCTCACACCTATAATCCCAGCACTTTGGGAGGCTGAGGAAGGAGAATTGTTTGAATTGAGAATTATTCTCCTCCTCCTGAGGAGGAGAATTGTTTGAAGCAAGGAGTTCAAGACTAGCCCAGGCAACATAGCAAGACCCCCCCATCTCTACAAAAGTAAAAATAAGTTAACCTGTTGGGGTGGCATGTGCCTATAGTTCTAGCTACTCGGGAAGCTGAGGTGGGAGCATGACTTGAGCCCAGGAATTTGAGGCTGCAGTGAGCTATCACCACACCACTGCACTGTAGCCTGGGCAACAGACTGGGGTCTCTTAAAAAAGCACACACACACGCAGAAAGATATACTTGTTACTAGTGCTCTTTTGTAAGAGTTTATCTAACATGGCATTTTAATTATGGTTTAAAAAATATTTCTTTCCAGTTAACAGAAGATGAAATTGCAACCATTCTTAAATCTACATTGAAAGGACTAGAATATTTGCATTTTATGAGAAAAATACACAGAGATATAAAAGCTGGAAATATTCTCCTCAATACAGAAGGACATGCAAAATTGGCAGATTTTGGAGTGGCTGGTCAGTTAACAGTAAGTTAACTTTAATAATTTTCTAAACACTTGGCTAATTTGTTCAGATTTGATTATAACTAAACTTCAATAACTTTTTGAGGGGGAATGGAAAGAAATGTGTAACTTTAATTTTTGTGGAGAAAGAACCATAATTGAGCCAAATTTGAGTATTATTTAATTTATAATTTAGGGTGATTGAATATGAAAATATATCTTGTAATCGAAATGCTTAAATGTTCTAAAGAGGGAAACTAAACAGCTCATTTCTGTAGCTTTATTGAATATGAAAATATATCTTATGTCGAAATGCTTAAAATTGAATATGAAAATATATCTTGTAATCGAAATGCTTAAATGTTCTAAAAGGGAAGCTACATAGCTCATTTCTGTAGCTTTTATCATTATAGCACTATCTTTAATGACCGTGTTTAATGATGGTAGTGGGGATAAGTTACCTGTGGAGTCTTGGTTATTTTCAGAATTCAAAATTCCTAAGTATGTCATAACTAGTTGAAATTTTAGCAAAATAGTCAATTTCTGATGTAATCTGTGGCACTGGAGGTTTCAACATTTTTTTAAAGAATGTTTGGCATACAGATTTCCTTTGTGCTTTTGTAGTAGTATTTATGGCTATGTAATGTTATTGCAGGATACAATGGCAAAACGCAATACTGTAATAGGAACTCCATTTTGGATGGCTCCTGAGGTGATTCAAGAAATAGGCTATAACTGTGTGGCCGACATCTGGTCCCTCGGCATTACTTCCATAGAAATGGCTGAAGGAAAACCTCCTTATGCTGATATACATCCAATGAGGGTAAGAAAATTATGGTTTGCTGAAAATGTTAGCCTTATATAAGTGTTGCAGTTTTGTAATGTCAGTGTAAGTAAATATAAACTAAATAAGTTCATTTAAATGTATTCTTTTTAAAAATGGTAAGATTACCTCCTAAAGATTGGTAACTCTTAACTTCTCTTCCGTGTTCTTAATTGTGAGAAAAGAACTGAAGGCTTTGTATATCTCTACCATCACTGTTCTCCTCCCCCAGAAATATACCCGTAAAATTTTTGCTTGCTTTTCAATAGAAGAAAGGGTTGGTAAATCCTCTTTGCTCTTCAGTTTATTGTTTTCTCGATTGTGGTAGTGAAAGAGTTTGAAGTAATCATTTCTCACTTTTTTACCCACTCTGTAATGTATACCTTACTGTGTTTTTTTTTTTTTCCTTCCCTTTCTCTTCTTTGGTCTGAGGATGGTATTAAGCAATCCTAATTTCTAATATTACTATGCACATGTAAAGGAATTCGGCTAATTTTTTTAAATGAATGCTTATTGAGAAGATGGAATTCCTTTTTTGAACATCGTTATATGCTTCTGTGACCTGTGCAGGATAATTTTTGAGTTTGAAATATATATCTTGCATATTCAAATCTAATTGCCTATGTTTCAGGGTTTGTGATAATATACTTTTTAGGTTTATTACTATGTGAATCATATAGATAAGTTCATCATCATAGATAAGTACATTTATCTTTGTATACTTATTGCCCTCTAGTGGCTGTAGTTATCTCAATAAGGATGTAGGAATGAGGGGAAGAGTGTATGTATGTGTGTATTTGTAGAAAAGAGAAGATAATGTCATGGTGGCTGGAGGAATGTGAAGTAAATAGATAGGAAGAGGAAGAATGCATTATTTTAGAATATCTGAAGAAGAATAAATTAGAATTACATCTGATATTATAATGCTATTGTGGCTTCAATTTCGATAATATAGGTAACAGTGTATTATACAGAAAATATTTGAAAATCTGTCTGCTGTATTGAAACATTTTAAAGAGAGACTATTATTATTATTTTTCTTTTGAGACAGGGTCTCACTCTGTCACCCAGCCTGGAGTGTAGTAGTGCGATCATAGCTCACTCGAGCCTTGACCTCCTGGGCTCAGGTGATTGTCCCACCTCAGCCTGCAGAGTAGCTGGGGCTATAGGTATGCACCACCATGACCAACCAATTTTTTGTAGAGACAGGGTGTCGCCATGTTGCCCAGGCTGGTCTCCAACTCCTGGGCTCAAGCGATCCACCCACCTCGGCTTCCCAAAGTGCTGGGATAACAGGAGTGTGCTCAACCTAGAATTCTTTGAGTAATATACAATAGTATATTAAGTAGTATACTTATTGTATATAAGTATATATAAGTAGTATACAATATGTACCATCTTACTCTTCCTTGTGTATATAAATTCCTTTTGGTAAATGAAAAATAAAAATAGCATCAGTTGTTTGAAAATAACATGAAAAATAACAAGGTCAGCATAAAAACAGGAACACAAAGTCTGTATTTCATCTCTGATCATTAGTTATCTGTGGTTGTTTTAGTTAGGATGTTTGTAGTGTGATCCTCAAAGTAGGCGTATTTGAGTTTGAATCAGTGAGTTTTACTAAATTACCCAAGACAACCTAGGTAATTTTGAGAGCTGGGATTTAACCTAGGACTTCCATTATTACTATTCTGCTTCTTCCCTGTGTAAATCTTATTTTTCCAACCCAGTAGTTCAACTTGTTAAATTTGATCCTGTGCTCAGATAGCAGAGAATTGTAATATGTGGCCTCTCCCTTTAAGGATCTTATATTACCTGAGAGTTTGAATGAATACATTATACATTATTAAAAATATACCTGAAAATAGTATTTCTCTTAGAAAAAAAATATGTATATATATATTGTAAACTTCCTAGGATGTCTTGCTCACTTTTTTTTTTTTTTTAAATCTAAATCCTACCAATTTTTCAAGTCCCAACTTGGATTTTATGCCTGTATAGAGCCATTCTTGACAACTATTGCCCAAGTAAATTTCTCTTTTTCCTCATATTTTGTATATAGGCAATTTCTTGACAGTCCAGTTCTTTAGAGAGTTAATCAAGTGTTATCTTGTGCATTTCCAAACGTAATATAGTTTATTTTCTATTTAAATGATATCATTATTTAACTTTTCTTGTGTTTGTGAGCTGTCTTACAAATTAGAGTATTGAACTACAAGTATTGGAAGCTGTTAAGATCATGTAACAGATACAGTTTTATCACTGGTAACAAGCACTACCTTTTGTTTTCCTTGAAGTGACAGGTTCACTTGGTTCATTTTTGAGAAAATGTCTGTCAAATACCCAAGTCTGTGTAGCCTTAGTTTTCTGTTATTCTTCAAGTAAAAATGATGTTCTTTGAAAAGAGCCTTGTAGTTTATTTAGCTTGTAGCTCAGTCACACAACTGCTTTTTTTTCAGATTATTGTTGTTCTTTGATATGTGGGGAAGTGCTTTATGCATATTTTCCATTTTGTCAATGTAGAATATTAAAAAAAATACATATTCAAGTGTAGAAATTAAAAAAAATTAATAACCCTTACTGTTTCATCAAGGTTTACAGTAATTTGGTGGGGGGTATAGTGAGGGAAATGAAAGAAAGAGCTGTCCAATAGAGAAAAAAAATTGTTGAGGGCCCAGCTAAAATTGGTAATTGAGAAATTATAGTGTAATTAATCCTGGTTTGTGGGCCTTCCTGTGGTATGTGCTCTGCTGTGCAGTAGAGTGCATTATGGCTTTGATATGGAGGGTTTGGGTTTTAATGAATGAGTGTCTTGGAGGGATGGGGCTTCAGGGAATTTAAGCATGCTGCTGAGAGACAGTTCGGGAGTTACTAACAGAACACAGTCTGGAAAGAAAAGAAAGAGTGTAAGAAAATGGGGCGATCGAAGAATAGATAGTGTTCTCCATGCTTGCTGCATAGCAGTCATCTGGGGAGCCCTACCCTAAACAGATTAAATCCGAAATCTCAGGAGGTTAGAGAGGAGATAAAGTGGTAGTTAAGATATGAGAAAGCTGGGAGGATATGAGACTATGGTAAGTGAGTGAAATACTGAAGTTTTCTTTTTTAGCCAACATTTTTTTGTACTGTAGTAACTTTGTGAAATAAATATTTTATCCTCCATTGGGTGGATTGGATGAAATGGATAAGATTATGTTATTTGTTAAGATGACATAACTTGTTAGTGGCAGAGCTGAGATATGAACCCAGTTTTATGGGTGTTTTTGCCTAGACACCAAAGAAATATCCTCTGCATTAATATTCCAACTCTGTACAAGTGGAGGAGCAGCTAACAAAAATAAGACAAGTTTTCCAGAGTAGCAGGAAATATGGACAGATTTCAATTTTTAATGTTTTGTTTTCCAGCCATTTTTTGGTAGCCATATAGGCTAATGATATAATCAATAATCTATAAAGTTGCCACAGTGAGACAAAGATATGATTGACACGAAGACCCCACAACTGATACAGGCAAAAAAACTGATAGTTATTTTAATGTAAGTAAATGATACAATTTACTACATATAAATGGCTATCTAGAATAAAGTTAGAGACAAAGTTAGGATATGGTGGGTGAGTTTCCCCAGCCTCCATATACAACGGGGTGCCCAACCACTGGTGATATTGTCTGATTGGAGTGAGGATTCTATCCAGTCTTTCTGAAATGCCTTGCAGTCATCCTCAGAGTTCTAGCCCTTTCCACTATGCTTGCCCACTAGATGTATATAATTAGGAACACTCCAGAACAGTGGTGCTGCCTTCTAGACTGAGTGAACTGGGATTTGGTTTCCCAGTCATTTTCTCAGCCTTTTACCGTGTTTAGGCCCCAGGCCTGTTTGTAAAGTAGTCTTGCTTAGGACAGCAAAAATTAGGGGCAAAAAGAGATGCCTCAAGCTTGGATAGTTTAGAATGGAGTTGCTTCTCTTTAAGTGGCCACAAATTATTGCTGTGTTTTTTACTGATTAAGGTTTTTGTAGGACATATATTTAGGATGTCATAGCCTGAGGGATATGAAGAACTTAAAGATGGCACTGAATTAGAAAATGAAAGCGGTTAAATTGGAAATTTGCAGTTATTTGAGAATAGGTCCTTCAAAGGTGTTAAGTCTGAGGTTATTTGTTTTATATGCTTTAGTTTATCAGTTTGTCAAATATTGATATTTCTTTTATCATTCCTGGGCAGAATAAGGAATATTTGGAATATAGATGTTCAAGGAGAAATTTTCTATTAAAAAGAGCTATTAAAAACACTGGCTTTGTTTGATGGCAAGGAGTCAACCAAATTTGTTAGTTTTGGTACAACCTTTTTTTCCCCCCAAAGAAACTTGTAGTATATGTAAACCGAATCTTCACTGTGGTAGACAGTAATGATTATCTATTTAGTAAAGGGAAATAATGATGTACACATTGAAACACCTAAAGCTTTTTAAACAGGAGAGGGATAGAAGTGCTTATAAATTTACATTCAGCTATGAGATTAAAATTAGTGAATAGTGGCAAATGGGAGTAAGTCTAATCAGAACGTTAAGTGAAACAAATTTTTTAAAAATTAAAACTGTTTATTTTATAAAGTTAAATATGAAACCACCAAATTAATTTTGGTCAGTTAGATAAATAGAATAGTTAAAAAAATTTAGTTTTGAATTCAGTTAACCACATAGTTTTGAGGAGATCAATCTTCTGTCTTTCTCAGGCCTGTTGGAAGTGAGTGTGAGAGAGAGAGTGTGTGTGTGTGTGTGTTTGTGTGTATATATATATATATATATATTTTTTTTTTTTTTTTTTTGAGACAAAGTCTCATTCTGTTACCTGGGCTGGAGTACAGTGGCAGTCTTGGCTCGCTGCAACCTCTGCCTCCTGGTTTCAAGCGATTCTCCTGTCTCAGCTCAGCCTCCCGAGTAGCTGGGATTACAGGTGCACGCCACCATGCCCAGCTAATTTTTTGTAATTTTAGTAGTGACG